TATTATTACTCTTGAACTTGTTAAACTCTTTTTTAAAGTCATATTTTCCAGTACACAAATCAGTCCCGTTTTGAGTGAATTCGTCCAATGCTGATTTTGAAGGATAGACTATTGAAGAGCTTTGCACGTCGTAAATCACATTGGTACAGTTTGTTGGGCATGCATTGTCAGCGGAATTGAAGTTGCCTACCGATGAGAAAAGATACTCATGATGGCCGTGTGAAACAACGATAAAAAATAAAAAAWTGATAACACTAYCAAACAAGCAAACAAACAAAAACAACAAAAATACAACCATTACAAAAAACGAGTTGAAAAAGCAAATTAAGCAAGGGTTGTCATCAGATACTGTTCAATTAAGACCCCATTGCAGAGAACCTACAATTGGCTTAACTTACTCAAAGCCTTGAAACAGCAATTAATAGCCTTCTTGATATCACAAAGTTTACTCTTTTCATCTAAAATGAATGGGATAACATTTCATGACACTGTGATTTATTGCAAAAATCTTGTTAAGTTTACACCATGACCGTGTTGTGTGCACAAGTTTTGAGAATGAATTGTTAGGGACTGAGCAATAATTAGTCGAGAAGGGGAGGGAGGAGGAGGGCTGAGAAGTGAATGAAAGAACTGAAAAGTTATTTCTGACATTTCTCCCTCTCACTCATGAATAGAATTGCACCATGCTCCCCTACCATTGGAAAAATTCGTTTATAATCCCCCRTTTATAATAAATGCAAATATTGCACAAAACAGCTCAAAATATAAAGCGATTTTGTGCAACTTTTTGAGCATCTTTAAGCATCTTTAAAAAATGCAGCAAAAAGAATGACGAAAAAAGGAAACTATGTAAACTGTGAAGTTCAGTCGCAACTGAACATGTGCATTTTGATGCAATGGAACATATTTACTTTGTGGAAGGCGGGGGTCCGACTGCTCCATTCAGATCAAGACATAACTTTAAAATAATTGGACTGAACAGGGCTGAGAGAGGTGACAAGTCRGGCTCTAAGACTTCAATTCATTAGATGATATAACGTCACAGAGTACATGTCCACTAACTGAAAAAACTCATGTACTCATTGCCGCATGCATTTAAAAGAACTTCTATTAATCTGTCAACTAGTTGTCATTTTCATCAAGCGTTCTAAAATATCTGGAGTTAAAATATAACAGTAGTCAACCTCTTGATTTGTAATGCATTGTAGGATATGTTAGTGCCAAAACATGGAGCATTATTCTGGGCCAAATCAAGTAGATGACGTAAAATCGTTCAATTCTTACTGATAACAGGTGATCCAATTAAACGACATCCACATTTCGTTTCTATTTCATTAGCATATTGTTCCATCAAACATCTGGTTTCAGAGTACACATTTGAGCTTTTAAGCTTCTTTGTGCCGCACCTGGCTGGATAAGGCTCTGGTAAATGGATTTTCTGTATAGAATGTAAGAAAGAGTTTAGCTTTTTTTGGAAAAAAAGATGTTTCATTAGACTCTTTATCTTTTAAGAAAAATGTGTACAAAGTAGCATAATAATTGGGTCCAAGAAGTTATATGAACAACTTAACAAGTTTAAATGTAGCCTGCTTACAGGCGTTCCTGCTGGGTGACCGAGAGCTCGTTTAAATGGTTATATATTACGGCTGTAGATCGTCGACCCTAGACGGGCCCAACTCAGTGAAGAAAACTTAACAACGATAATAACTTACACACCTTCTTTTTTCGAATTCTGAGATTGGTTCTGAATCCAGTAGGGATATCAATACCATACAAATCCATCACGGGAAAAATACGAGGGTCATGGACCATGAGTTTGAACCCAGTGCCATCCCAACTGTGTGGTCCATAATATTCGTGAGACTCAGTGTCTAACAGCAGTGCCAGTCCAAAAACCTCCCCAAGCTTGCGTACTTTAGCCTTGACATTAATCGTGTGGCAGAGCCCTAACTGGACATAAAAATATTCTGGATAAATGTTGGACGATAACCTAAGACACTAGTTGCCTTTTTATAAAGAAGTTATACTTGAATAAAAGAGTAGCCTGAGTATCAGGCTCTCTCGAAGGGGTTTAGGGCGGAGCTCCGCTCCAAACCCCTTCGAGAGAGCCTGATACTCAGGCTAATAAAAGAGCAGTTAATTAATGTTTAAACGACTTACCCTCAAATCAGAAAAGCTCTTGGTACTGTTGGTAAATTTGAGACAATCTGCAGAAAACTTCATTTCCTTGATGACATCTGTTACACGATGACCATTTGCAAGMACTTCCTTCTCAATGTCGAACGAAGCGTTTATTTGGCTGTGGATTTTTGGCCAGTCTTTCTTGAGCTTAAAGTTTTGTCCATCTAGCCAAAACTGTCCGTCCTTCCCTTGTATTTTGCTCTTTTTTAACGTATTCTTATTACATATCGTTACAGCGGGGAACCTCAATTCCTAGAATATACGGATGAATAAAACGTTCAACGGCGTGAGAGGACCGTTGAGAGTGCAGTGATAAATTAAAACTTTCTTTCACGTTAATAAACCACTTTAGTATAAACATACCAATGGTCTATCACTCATACTGCGCTGTGATTGGCTACTCTACTAATGGTCCAATTTGTGATAGACCAGTCGCGGGAAAATCAAAATGGCGGCATCTCATTAATAAATTATTTTAAGGATATTTCAATTTGTTTTCATTATTTGACCGATTAGTATGTTCATACTAAAACAATTAGACCTCTCGGCCTCGCGGACTTGGCCTCATGGGCTATTAGCTCGTAGTCCACTCGACCTCGAGGTCTAATTGTTAAATATATTCTTTGTATCTATCATTGCACGCTCAGAGGTCCTCTCGTTTCGTTTGATGCAAGAAGAAGAAGAATTCCAAGAAGAAGAGAAGAAGAAGAAGAGG